TCTGACACGGTGACTCTTACTGGGACACACCACTTATTTCCTTAGCCCACCATGAGTGGAGTTTGCTTTCTGTCTTTGACTAGTCCATAAGGAAATATTTACTGATCACTTACTATGTACAAGGTTTTGGTGCCAGAACCAGAAATACGTCCATGTTTACCACAGTAAGGTTAGGCTACACATCCTTCATCTCACAGGATTACCATTTTGTTGTGGCTGTGGTATTGAGAACACTGAAGATCTACTCTCATAGCACTGTTGAAGTATAACACAGAATATTGTTAGAATAGGCCGCACGCTGTACATTAGATCCCCAGAACTTATTCATCTTATAACGGGAAGATTGTACCTTTGGGTTGTAATGTTTGGAAATTATAAATAATGCCATTAATATATTTGTCCGTGCATCTCTCCATTTTCACATCCATCCATCCATCCATCTATCCATTCATTCATCCATCCATCCATGCAACCATCTTTCCACCCTCCCACACATCTATTCATCATCCATATAGTTTATCTAAGAAAATTCAACTCCATCTCACACACATTGCTAGGAGTAAAAACTGAAATAGTTGACTAAATGGGCATAAAGTTTCAAGCACTCAGGATGCATAACAACTAGAAGTCTGATGAACTATATTGTGCCTGTAGTTAACAAAACTGTATTGTGCACTTAAAGTTTTGTTAAAGGTTGGATCTCATGGTAAATATTCTTAGCACAATAAGATAACATTTAAAGAAAAAGCAGGAATATGTGATAACATTGTATGGCTCTTGCCCTTGAGGAATGATTAGTCTTGTTGGAAAATCCAGAGAGTAAACAAATTACTAACAAGTATGTGATACATTAGGATATGTGTTACACAGTACAACCCCATGGAGCTAGAACAGGAGATGACAGGGGATCAAAACTCATCGGGATAAGATGGAAGACCTTGGTTTGATGAGGTGAACTTTGAGGACAGAGGTGAAGGCTGAGAGAGACTTCCTTCCTAAGGTGACTTGGAATGTGTTAGAGAATTCCAGGTGAAGACACTGGCTCATAGAAGAAGACTTCACATTCCATGTGGGATTCCGTTCAGTGGTCTTCATCTTTTAATGTCTGCTCTTTGTATGCTTCTGTAAATTGACCATAACAACTTTCTGGTTCTCGCCTCAACAATGATTTAAATAAAAATGTTAACTTGTGTTTATTTTACATCTGCAGAAGAGTAACTATTTTACCTTGCTTTTTTTAAAATTAAAGTTTATTGGGGTGACAATTGTTAGCAATGTTACATAGATTTAAGGTGTTCCATTCTGTAATATATCATCTATTTATCACATTGTGTTTTCACCACCCAGAGTCAGTTCTCTTTACCTTTTTTACATAAATTATCCTATGCCAAAATATATTTACGAAAAGTAAGTTTGATCATAAGTTGTGCATGTCTGTGTCTTAACTTCCTCCTTCCAACAGCAGAAAAATACAGTAACACATGTGCAGTGTTGGGTGTACTGGAGAGCTGAGATCAGCACACAACACATTTAGCATCTAACTGTACAAGTCAAGTTCAGATTCATTTTGACAATGAGCACAAAGGAGAAAAACGGGGAAATATAAAAAGCAAAAATGACTGTTCTCTTGGCCCTGGACTGTGGGTTTTTCTACCAAATGCTCCCTTTCATGCACTTGCCTTTCATTCTTGCGACAGCACCCACCACATCGTCCCTGACACAAAGCTGAGTCACTCCAGTCTCCTCGGTGCCCCCTTATTCCTTCCTCAGAACCGAACTGTCCCTCTCACCCTGTGGTCCTGCCTTCAAGCTTTTGGGCTCAGTGAGCTGGGTTAGTGCTCTGCATTGGAAGGAAAACTGACCTTTATTTAAATATTGACCAGCCTTCCACTGCCTGTGTGACCTGGGGCAGTAACAGACCATCCCTGAGGCTCATTTTCCTCACTTGGAGCAATCTGTCATGAACCCCACTGCTCAGAGTGGGTGTGGGGTTAGTGTTGCCTGGTTCATGGGTGAGGCTCAAACACTGTTAATTTCCAACCAGGCTAAGATGTATGGGAGATGGTACATGAGAGATTCGAGGTGTCAACCCCACATCCAGGGTAGGGTGGAGATTTATACTCCTTCTAGACACTCAGGGTTTTCCCCCACAACTGATTTTGCCATTGTTTGTTTTTTTTTTGTCCCTAATGTGAATGTATTAAGATTTTCAAGCTATCTCAAAAAACTGGAAATGGAACTACTGTATGACCCAGCAATTCCACTCTTGGGTATCTATCCAAAGAAACCTAAGACGCTAATTTGAAAAAATATATGCCACCCCCTATGTTTATTGCAGCACTATTTACAATAGCCAAGATTTGGAAACAACTGAAATGCCCATCAGTAGACGACACTGGATTAAGAAACTGTGGTACATTTATACAATGGAGTATTACTCCGCTATAAAGAAGAATGAAATCGTACCATTTGCAATGATATGGATGGACCTAGAGACTATTATGTTAAGTGAAATAAGTCAGTTAAAGAAAGACAAATACCATATGATCTCACTTATATGTGGAATCTAAAAAACTGAATGAACGAGCAAAGTAAACAGAAATAGCCTCAGAGATATAGAAGAAAAACTGATGGTTGCTAGTTGGGAGGGGAGTGGGGATGAGGGAGAAGGGAAAGGGATTAGACAGCATAAATAGGTAACTACAATATTGCCACAAGGATATGAAAGACAGTTCGGGGAATATAATTAATAATGTTGTAAACATTTTGTAGGTTGTCAGATGGTCACGTGTCTTGTTAGGGCGACCACTTCATGGATAGTAGAGGCTTGATCACTGCACTGTACACCTGAAGCTGATGTTGTGTAATATTGTATGCCAACTATAATTGAATATAGATATAGTCATAGGACATGGAGTATAGTGTGGTAATGGAGTCAAGGGAATTGTAACAGATATGTATGATATGGGGGAGGAGTGGTGTGGCGGATTGGGGTAAGGGGTTGTCACTTTGAGGGGTAAAAAGTATAACTATTGCACTGTGTTGTACAGCTGAAACTAATTAAAAATGTTTATTTCACAATAAAAAAAAGATTTTCACATCACAATTTCTTTGAAACTGTAACATCAGACTGAGGCGGAAACTCCCAAGACTGTTTTTTTTAAAGATTTTATTGGGGAATTGGGGCAGGGGAACAGTGCTGGGGAATCGGGAGAAGGGGAACAGACAAGTTACTGTTGTTGTTGTTTTTTAAGATTTTTATTGGGGAATTGGGGGGATGGGAACAGTGTTGGGGAATTGGGG